AGTGTGAGGGAAGCAATAATCTCATCTTTCTCTGGCTCTAGTTTTCTTTCTTGTATTATTACTGATATGAACGACAATAGTAACAACAAGACTGTCGCGAATTTAAAGGGAAAAAACACACACAAAAAGCCTAGTGAAGTCGTAGAGATGCCTGTAAGAGTTTTGAATAAAGACCATTAAGAGCAAGTTGATGCTTTCTTTCTTTTTCTATTTTCCTCTCTCTCCATTAAAGAACCTCATTCAAAAAGAAAAAATACACTTTAATGACAAAGAAAAGAAAAAGTGAAAAAACTCATTATTATGAGAAGCCGCTGAAAAATTTCGATACTTAGAACAGATATATGCATTTCAGTCGAAACTACTGCATTTGTTTGTTTCGCTCTATCTCAATGGAAGGAAGAATCCAACTGGGGTAAGTTAGTCGGTAAGAGGACTTATTGAATGTTGTTTGAATTGTGTAAATCAATGTTTTAAAGCTGGTTGTTCTGATCAGAAGCGGCGTAGCAATTCTGAATGGGGTAAGGCTCACGAGAGAACATAGCAAGATGTTCAAGCCGTTTAAGCCCCATCTTTTGGCCATAAGTAGACCTCAATGAGGTATGGAAAACCTAAAGAGGATTCATTCCTTCGTGTCTTTGTTTCCGAGGTCTCGAATTTTTAAGAAATTTTCCCCATAGGATCCCAGATTTACAGCAAAATCGTATTACCGAATTTTTACCTGAGACTTTGCCCATATCAATCTCTCAAGTAGAGTAGATCGTGCACAAAATTTGAAAAATTTTTAACCTGGCCTTTAACAGATATGCATTTTCCAAAATATCCGTCTTTTCTACAATATCTGTAGAAATGAGCCTCTATATTGGGAAAGGCATATCTCTTAAAGACTACGTTAAAAAATTCTGAAATTTTGTGCACAACCTACTCTACTTAACACTTTGATATGGACAAAGTCACAGATCAAGGTGGTGTGCGTGTGATGTGTGGATGGTGATGTGGGTGGTTGTGGAGTGTGGATGTGGGTGTCTATGTGAATGAGGATGTGGGTTGGTGTGAGATGGGTGTGGTTGGGTGTGGTTGGATGTGGATATCTGCGTATGGGTATGGGTGGTTGTCACAGATGGAACCGATCTGCAAAAGTCAGACTGGGCCGGATCGGCCGGCCTACCGGTAATGAATGGTATATCGATAATTCACAGTACCAGAGAAAGAGTAGTTTAGATTAGGGTTGCACAGCTCACGCTCATGAGCGCTCATATGAGCGTTTTTTCGCTGACGCTCATATGCGCGCTGGTGAGCGTGAACGTTTTCTGACTTAAAGAAAGTACGAGTGTCTCTGATCACTTTTTTCCTCGAAAATCAATATTCATGATTTTTATGCCTGGGTCCCCTTCAGGTATGATGGGAAAAAATTTTTTTTCACGAGCCAAAATCAGATATAATAGTAGATTGAGAGGTGCTGGTTAAGAGTATCACAATTAGGCATACATCGAACCCGAACTTTCCGGGGTTCGGTATTCCCGGGTTCGGCCATTCCTGGGTTCGGTCATTCCCGGGTTCGGCCATTCCCGGGGTTCGGTCGTTTCAGGGTTCGGTCATTCCCGGGGTCCCAATCGAGAGTAACTTTCGGCTCAATCCAAATCTTTTCTTCAATCTAACACAGTTTCACCAGCATATAAATTTCACTAGAGAATGTCTACCAAAGGTAAATTGAGGTCGGAGAATCCGAATCTACCGTCAGATTTTGAAAATTTTGAATTTTGATTTCTTCGGTTAAGGGAAGAGTTTTTCGAGAATATCATAACGTTAACACTGATTATCCCATAAACTATATTCTTTGCTATTAAGACTTCCCTAAAACATTTAACGATCGCTGTCGTATGTATATAATGTTTTCAAAGTTTTTCTTCAAAGACATTTTTCACTTTCGACATGTTTCGTCTAAGTCAAAGATCCTGTAGAGATTCATATATTTTTTCATGAGAAAGTCACTCAGTCATAAAAAAGGTTGCACCTATGGGATTTGATAACTCTGACATCATTTGCCCCAAAATATCCTAAGGTTGTGACAAGATTGCTATTAAATTTCTTCTAGTATCTTGGCACGAACACACGAATGTCGTAGGACAAGTGTTACCACAGAATCTCAACATCATCCCAAAGCTGGAACTATGATTCTATCAGGATATGTGTGGATTTGGGTGTTGCTGTAGTTCTAAAAAAGACCTTTGCACCTATACCCAAAAGCCTTTGCTGTAACAAAGACTTTTGTGTTAATTGTCCTTGCTGACTTATATAAAAAGTAGTATGAATTCTTGTACGAATATCCCAGCCTGTATCTGACGAAAAATTGACAAAATCTTGAGAAAATCATCGGTTCTTTTCTTCTAATAGGTTCTCGAAAGAATTAGTATTCAATTCTGGAAGCATCTTGTTTGAGGAACTAGGAAAAGTCGAAGCGGGAAGCTGAAGAAATTCTATTATGAATCTGTCTAACTAAAATATTCCTCAGTAGTAACAGGATTTATCAGGAGTTAAGGCAGAGTTCTGTCGAAAACTTGGGAAGATCCTTACAACTTTCGATCGTACAAGGACTGCGAAAGGTTTCTAGATAAACGGAGAAGATTAAGAATAGAAGCAATATTACCAGACCATACTATTTTAATACCCAATCACTCAATAATAGTAGATGACTGTTAACAATTACTAAGACCAAATATCATGACACGATTAAGGGACCCAAAGCTAAATGGTTGCAGATTAGCCTGGCTAGTCATGAAGATAATGTATAAAGCAACAATGAGAACAACGATTTTGTATAATGGTGAAGAATGCCAGCTTCCACATTAATTAAAACCACATTCGAGCTAGGAAAAATCAAGTAATGGGCCTTGCAGCGCCATGTAGTATGTCTTCTTGAAGCTGTTATCAGCATAAAGTCACTATTCCTAGATGTCCAGTGAAGACTAGGAGAAGCTACACTGCATACGCCATGAGCACAGACACAGACTACTACGCGATGACATTGCGGGGCCGATTATTCCAACCGTTTAATAGATGCTGATGAGTTCTCCACCCTTCCTCATGTTGTTCATGCACCGTTATTCGTACTTCTTTATCAAATCCCTGAAAGATTTGTAACCAAGCTATATACTTCATGAAGGTAGATGAGTACTACCGATACATAGCCTACGTTGACATACGGGCAGCGGTATAATGTATTGCATGCATTGTTGTGCGGGTTCTCCTTTATATACTAGTTGGTGAGGCCAGAATACCTCCGTTATATAGCAGCTGACGATTTAAGGGGACCCACGTTATATAGCAGATGATGATTCAAGGATATTCCCATTATATAGTATATGATGATCTAAAGGTACCCCCGCTATATAGTAGATGATAACTCAAGGGAATTCTCGTTATATAGCCGTTGATAATCTAAGGGTACCCCCCTTTATATAGTAGATGATAACGCAAGGGTACCCTAGTTATGTAGCAGCTGTTAATCTATGAGTAGCCCCATTACACAACAGATGATGACTCAAGGGTACCCCGTTATATAGTAGATTACCTATGAATGATCCCGTTACACGGCGCATGTACAATTATGGGTACCTTCATAAATATTTATTCACTTTTATGAATTTTTAAGAAAAATTTGTTTCCTAGGAAACCATTTACTTTAAATTTGTTAAAGTAAAGGCTTAAAGTATGGTTACTTTAACTTTAACTCATAAAGTTTAAAGTTATGCTTTAAACTTTAACCTTAACTTTCAAAGTTTAAAGTGCGACTTTAAACTTTAACCACTTTAACATTCAAAGTTTAATGCTAAAATGCCACCCCTATTTGCGACAAAAGAGGATTGAAGTATTTGCTTGTCCGTCCAACTTAAGAGATCAAAAAAGCACCTTGTAATACCCGTATCTTATTTCCAAATGAGCTTTTATTTTATAGACTCAAGGTGATATTTCTCAGTACACGTCAAAACTAGACTTAATATGACTAAATTGTTCTGAAAACAATAATGTAACCTCAGAAAAAGATTCAGTTCTCTTAACAGCGGATCTTTCGAGTTACCTGCGCTAAATATAAGCTATTAATTGAATACTGTCAAACAAGAACCGCAGTAGAGTTGGTAATGGGAAAGTAGAGATAGAGTGCGCATGGAGTATAGCTGGAGTACAGCTGGAGTACGGCTGGAGTACAGCTGGAGTACGGCTGGAGTACAGCTGGAGTACGGCTGGAGTACAGTTGGAGTACGGGTGCAGTACAACTGGAGTACGCACTCTAGGAGTCTCGCTTTTTTCCCCTTGGAGGAAGCACATCAGTGCAGTGTTTGTCCGCTCTCATTTAAAGTCAAACTCGCTTCACTCCCGAAAGAAAATGTAGAACCGCTATAGAGTTGTTCATCTCTGCAAGCCTTATGTCGCCTCCACCTAATTTAGCGGTCTCGATTGAATTTGGGACTATCCATAAAATATGCCCTGTAAAATCGGCGTTTTTCTGGCCATTTTAGCCTTCCTTTTTATTGACCGTATTTTATTGATTGGTCTTTCCCTCGATTCACCCGTTTGCTTTCTCATCTTTATCACGAGAAGGAGATGACACACCTGATCTGTTTTATTTTTCTAGATATTACTTACGATTTATAAGGTAAAAACGGTCAATGGATTCAGCAATACCAACAACTATTTCATTCTTATCCGATTTAGACTTCATTAAAAAGTGGAATCCAGAATCTTCGAAGTTAGATGCTGTGAATAAAATTCAAAAGGAAGAGGAACGGTTGGAAGAGTACTACTCTACACAATCCGCAAAGATTGAAGAGGATAAGAATGATATTAAGAAAGAAGAGGAGCAGCTCCTTTTAAAGATGAATATTGATTCAACTAAAAACAATCAATTACTAAAAAGAATCGAAGCTGAAGTACAAACATTGAAAAATTTAGAAGATAAACAGAATAAACTTTCTTCACAACAGAATGATTTGATTAAAAAATTTATGACAGATAAAACTGCCCTGGACGAAATCGAAAGTAACTGGTATGCATCTGCTAAAGAACTTAATGATAATAGCGAACAAAAGATGAAATTAGACACTGAAGCACAACTATTAGAAAAACAACTACGGAATATTACACATAAAGAAAATGAACTTATTGAAGCGGAAAATCATTTAAATTTGTCATTGTACGGTCTTCAACTATTAATTGAACAGACTCGTAAAGACTATGAAGTTAGTCTAGCAATTCTACAACAGGAGCAAGCTCAATTGAGAGACGCTGAACAAAAAATTGAAGCTCTAAGAAAAGAACTTGATAAAATCGAAAATGAACTTAAAAAAATTGAAAAAGAACTTGAATTTTCAAAACAGGAATATCAAGAATTAATGTTAAAACAAAATGATTTGAAACAAGAGCTAGAACAATCGCAAAAACTTATCGATCAATTGAAACTGTTAATTACAGAAAAAGAGGCTAATCTACAGAAACAAGAAGGTTATATGACTATTTTCAAAGAAAACATTGCAAGGTTGAATCAACAATTAGAAGCCCTAAGGTAAACTAGTTCATTGTACTTCTTTTGGCAGCTAGATGAGATACTAAAGGTTAGAGCTAATTGCATTCTGAAAAAGAGACTTGAGTCTTCAGTGCACGCTCCGTTCTTGCTGAATACCTAATGCCATCTCAGATTTTCTCTCTTGCTAGGCATAACGGAAAAACTGAGCAAAATTGCGTGCGACAGCAAAGTATGTGGAGCATAGAGCATTATTTCATTGACTGCGAAATCTAAGATCATACGAAATTAAATGTTTTTTAATAGTGGTTATCCGCACAGAAAGACGGAAAACGTCGGTGTGTGTTTTTGTCTTTGTGACGATCATAAATAGCGTTTGTCGCCGTGTGGAGCACGAAGTGCGACGGAGCTACATTTGTGACAAACGGTGGGCAGTATTCACAAGTTAATTAAGAAATTTTGAAATACCTGTAACTGATTTTTAGACGGATTAGCCTGTTCGAGCACTTCTGCCGCACTTTTTTTCGTCATTCGACATCGACAGACAATACAGTCAAGGGAGCGCGTGCACATTTTTTTGTTCCCGTTATTTACCTTCTATTTCTCATTCTGTGTAGATTAGAACTACAAAACCTTGTCAGTCAGCTGGCTGCTGAAACTGAAAAGTTGCAACAAAACGAAGTGCATCTAAGAGGTTTAAAAGATGACAGCAAGTCGTTAGAAGCTAAGAAACAAGACCTCGAAAATGAATGTCGACAGTTAGAAGATGAACAAGCTAGTAGAAGAAATGAATTAAAAACTCTGAATTCAAAATTAGAAAATATTCAGAGTTTACTACAAAAGACACAATCTAAAATCAATGCCTGTGAAGATAATCTCGCAACACAGCAGAATGAATTACGAAGATTAGAAGTGGAACATGATAATTTTGTTAGAAAGGAAGCTGACGCCAGTACTCTCTGCGATGAATTACGTGAACGTAAAGAAACTGCTCAGAAAAATGCAGAAAAAGCAGAGGCAGAAGAAAAAGAAGCTAACCAACAGTTGACACAGTTGAAGCAAGCTGAACGTGATTTGCAGAATGAGAAGCTGCAAGCAAAAAGAGATGAACAAACAGCTCTATGTGAAATGAACAATGCGGAACAAGCAGTGAGAATGGCTGAAGAAGAAGTTCGTCGTTTGGAATCGAGGTTAACAAGTCAGCAGGATACGTTGGGCGGTTTCTGGAATGGAGTGGGAAATTTTTTCAACGGGTTGTTCGGTGGCAATCGTAAACAAAATCAAGAACGAGCTCTTAGGCAGACACAACAAGAACTATCACAGGCTAGAAAAAACCTCAATTCAAAAACACAGGTTCGTGACAAATGCAAACAGTCACACAATACCGCTAAAAATAAAACTGCTGACCTCTCTCGTCGAGCCACTGTAAAAAGCAATGAACGTGCCAATCAAGAAAAACTTGTAGAAAACAAAGTAAATCAAACCAAAACTAATCAGACTAAACTTGTACAAGCAAGAACACAACATGCTGATGCACTGAAAGAACGGACTCAAGTACAAACTGAATTAAAGTTGAATGAAAAGCAAATTACGCGTGTCGAACGAGAAATTAATAAGACTTCAAGTGAACTTCAACAACATCAACAACAGTTCACAAACTATGAAAGTCAAAAAGAAAATTTAGAGGCCAATATTCAATTAGTAACGAACGCCAAAAACCAGCTAGACCGTGCAATTTCCCAACAGAGACAAACGATAAGAGACAATCAACATCAATTAACACGTGTTATTGAAGAAGAGAAACAGATGAAAGTAATAATTGATAAACTGAAACAAAGTGTTGTGTCAATGAAACAAGTAGTTGGTGAAAAAGAAAACCAAATAAAAGCTAAAGAACGTGAAATAACAAATGAACATGTTCTAGCTGATGCAAAGAAGAAAAGTATCCAGCAGCTGAAGCAAGATATTGTTGCTGGAGAAAAAAGTTTAGAGCAACAAAAGCTTCAATATGATAAAAGTACAGCTGACTTGAACAGCTTAGCAGAACGAGTCAATGTCTTACAAAGGAACAAAACAGTACTTGAACAAGACAAAACTAAATATCAAGATGAAATTAAGAAATATCAACAGAATCTAAATGAAACACGCGCTCGTGTACAACAACATGACAGTCAAGTGAAGAGTTTGAAACAAGTGTCGGATACTATCGGTCAACATGATCAACGCTTGGCTGAGGATATAAGAAATCTTCAAACAAAGATTAATCATAAAAAACAAGAAATCATTGAAAACAATAGTAAAATGGCTGACATAAATAAAAAAATGAATGATATTCAACAGGAGAAGAAAACAATAGTCAATCGTTTAACGAGCACGAAAAATAATATTGAAAAAATTGCTTCACAAATGCAAGATAATCATACAGTAATTAGTCAAAGTGAAGAAGCGTTTAAAAAGTTTAAAACTGAAATTGAGAGTACCCATGATAAAATAGACCAGAATGAAAACGTACGTACTGAAGTTCATCTTAAGCTTCTGGAGTGTGAAGCAACTATTACAAACCTACAGAATCATTATGGAGAGATTAAGCTGGAACTCGGGAAGAAAGTACTTGATGTAGTTGTAAACGATATTGAACAACGACGAGACCATCCCTGGAATAAGGAAATATACGATATTAAACAACAACCAAACCATGATCGGAATAAGAAGATGATAGAAGACAATGAGGAGAAAGATATTGTCGAAGATCATCAGTACAATGTTCAGAAAAAACAACAGAAACAATATGTTTAGACTTGAAGAAGTTGAATCGAAGAGTTACCTACTGAAACCTTAAAATAATACTTGCGTGAGATTCTAATTGAGTGTACTGTGTTTTCTTAAAATTGCACTTGATATTAACAGTCTTTCTTTTTCTTGATTCTCACTACAAGGCTCTCTAGAACGACGACTTTGTTTTTCGCCGAGGACTTTTTAATACATCATCTTTTAGTTTTAGAAAATGATAGGCCGTGGTATTGAACCGTTTAAAAGCAATTTTATCGACTCGTCGGATTCTTTGGCTTCGTCGCAGAGTCCTTGCACACCTTCAACGAAACAGAACTTTAAAACAACGAACTCATCGTTGTCTCAGCAACTTTCAGAAGAGCAGACTAAACCAACACTCGTCAATGATCTTATTCTCAACATTAAAATTCGATTTAATTATGCTGAAATCTCAGACTTTGTCCGTGAACTTTCAACACCAAATGCCGATATTTCCTCACATTTCCACTTGGATCATCCATTATCAGTACTTCAACTCTATACTCTTCACATTTTCAAAACACCCGTTGATATGAGCGCCCGAAAAGATCGTAAAATCTATCGTCCTACATTGTTCACACGGAAAAACGATGCTTTCAGTCCATTTAATTTTTATTTTTTACTGAATCTATTTGATTTGGAGTATGAATGCAACTCAGGAGACTTTCCAAAAGTATGGAAGACAAATAGTCTTACAAAAGTTGTAATTCGACAGACGACTTCAGTCGTTGGTACTGGTACAATGATAACAGCATCAGATCTGAATGAGTCTGATTTAACAACGTTAGAAGGAGTGTTACGAGCTATCTGTCGAGAAAATAGATATGACGAAAATGATGCTGAGAAATGGATGAAAAGTCTAAAAGGTAGGTTTTAATTCAACTCCCATTAGGTTTGCGGCTCGGGTTTTTCAGTTGAACTTGCTGAAGGTCATACATTTCTTCAAGAAAAACAGATACATCGCAGTTTTCGTTACCTTTCTTACGAAAATAGTCTGAACTACGACAGTGTTGCCTGCTTTATTATGATTCTAGACGAGCATATCAACACCCTTGATCATTTACAAAGTGTCGTTACAAGTGATAATTGGGAAAAGCTCTCTAAAGTTTCTCCAGTTATAAGACAGTTGATTCGAGATTATGTACTGATTAATTCAGCATCGGTAGCAGTCAATGAAAGCCGCGATGATCCATATAAAGAATCAAAAGCTACTCTCCTCTCTGACATACATCGTATTCGTCGTTATTTCTACTACATTATCGGAAAGCTTGATCTGCAACCGTTTCTTTCACGTACTGCTGTCGATCTAGCAATTAAAGAAATTGAGAAAACCTACGAAGACGATGGTAACATTTTGAAAGATATCCAAAATTATTTACACACATTCTGTCTGAAAAATAAACTGGAGAGTAAATCGTCTTATGAAAAGAAACAAATTGATTGGCAGAATGATTTAGAACTTTTGAGAGACAATGAAAAACAGTTGAATGAACAGCTTAACCTCTCTGAACAAAAATTGCAACAACTCAAACAAGATGTTGAAACCTATAAATTACGTAAAGAAAATAAATTCAATGAAGAAAAAGACAATCGAGATAAAATTGCGGCTAAACTACGTTCAAATGTAGTTGGAAACGAACAATGGTTTCGTAATAATGAAGAAGCAAAACGTCTCAAGTCGGTCTATGATCAGGAAAGAAAGCTTGCAGCGGATGAATTGGAACGTGCTCAAACTCTCTACAAAAAACACAATGAATACCATCTGAGACTCGATGCAAAGAAAGCCAATGTCCACGATCAACGTAAAAATTTAGAATATCTTGTTACTTTGAACTTAGAAGATCAACAAAAAAAGTTGTCAGTGAAATATGGTCGTGGACTTTTGCTTTATGGGCCACCAGGAACAGGTAAATGACTTTCTGAACTTAAACAAATGTTCGGAAATCTTCTATTCTTTCCATTTTTTCTAACAGGAAAATCTGAGTTACTGAAGAAGGTAGCTATCTATGCCGGTATAACAATGATTACACCACCATTAGCCGCTGGTGAACTGAATAGACCACTGGTCGGTGAAACTGAAAGACTTCTCGTTGATATAATGCACCGTGCTGTTGATCTACCCTATCTAATCTGTGCAATGACAATTGATGAAATTGATGGTCTTGCACCGAAACGAGATAATAAAGCGCAACAATCAAAAGTTGATGGTATCTCTGTCTTACTCTCACATATTGAAGGGGTAAAGAATATACCGAATCTAATTGTTTTCGGCGCTACAAATCGTCGTAATATGATGGATGAAGCATTCCTTAGAAGAATGCAAGCAAAAGTCTTTGTTGGACGACCATCACCGGGTAGTCGTGAGAAAATGTTAAATCCACTTATTAGTAAAGATTCTAAAATTTTCCATTCTAAACGAATTGAATCTCTTAAAAGAATTACAACAAATTTTAGTGGTGCTGCTGTTAGTGCATTGAAATCAGCTATTATTGTTGAAATGGATCGTAATTCAACTATTGATGATCGACGACTTCTTGAATTGGCAGCTATTGTAGCAAGAGAATTTAATGTTTGGTTTGGTATTAGTACTCTACCAGATATATGTCGTTTGAATCCAACAATATTTTATTCGGAAAAAAATACTGAAAATTATTCTTTAGCCTTAACGAACTTTTCGCCATCAGGACGTATTCTGATTGATTATCAGTCGAAGAAATGTCTCATTGAACTGACAAATGCAGCAACGTTAGAAAAAGAACTTGACACATATGAAACATCATCTACTCTCTCACTTTTACCACGTCTCATTCAAGGTTGTTCCAGTCGAAATATCGACACTGTTCAAGTGATTGATCTGAATTTTTTAACAAAACAAAACGCATTAGAAGAAAATCAAATTTTTGAACAGTTGACTACACTATTTCTGGAATGTGATGAATACAATAAGTCAATGCTTGTGTTCGACATTGATTCGTTGATTATGTTAAATAAATCTGATTCAGAAATGTCAAAGACAAAATCAATTTCAAATATGCGTCTCTATCAATTCTTAAGGGAAAAGTGTAAGGTCACACTTGTGGAAGAAGAAAAGCTGGAGCAGCAACAACAAGCTGGTACTAAAGTAAGTCTTTTTTTTTAGTTTCATGAACGAAGTATTTTTTGTCTGGTTTGATTCTTCGAGAGCGATGCTGCCAAACCTGTTGAAAAATGGATCGTTATGATTGTGAAAGATGTATTTTTGAAAGATTCGTTGATCAATGATATTGAATTTAAAAAAACTACAGAACAGATAAAAGAGGAACAAGAGAGTAAGGAAAAAAGTCAAGAAGGTGAACGTCCACGTAAATGTCCAAAATGTTTGCAAAATTATCTACCAAAAGATGCAAAGTTTGGTGGTTGTCAGTATCACAATGCTTTTGTTGTTGATATCGATCAACCAACTATCTATCTAACAGCTGAACAAGCACACATTATCTATCAAAATGCACAATTGAAGAAAGAAGAAGAGGATAAAAGTTCTTCTGTTAAGCAACACCAGATGCCAAAACTTCTTTGGGCATGCTGTCTACGACGTTATGGTAGTGAACATGGTACATGTGAATTAGGAACTTGTGGTCTACCTGAAGAGCTACAAGAGACAGTTAGTATGAAAACTGATGACTATATAAAAATTGTCCAGGAACATTTCTTGAAGAATCAAAAAGCTATTGACAAAATAAACAATTATTTGGGTCAACAATCACAAAGAGCAGTGTCCATCACCTCGTTGCCTAGTGCTCCTACTATTCGTCAACCATCACGTACCTATACACTAAATACCGGCAAGTTCAATTAACGTTATAACTCACAAACGGAAAACCGTTCTTGGCTTTGAAGCAGTATTACCGAAGGATTACCATGACTACAATTTTGTTTTTTAACAAAGAGTTTTCATTGCTTGCAATGACCGCTAGAAAAGTCTACTCACCTCTCAACTAAAGATGCACTAGTCTCAAGCTCAAGTCTTGGGTTCGAAAAGTTTGAGTGTCAAACAGTTTGAGTTTGAAAAAACTTAAGCTTGAGCGTGGCTCGAAAGTTGGGTGTGGGTGTGGGTGTGGGTGTGGGTGTGGGTGTGGGTGTGTGG